ATGCCCTGCCCTAAGCAGCTCAGGATTGTTATCTTCAGGAGGTTCTAAAACTGTTATGTCTGGGTTTATGCCCTCTGATACCTCTTTTAAATAAAAATATTGACCCTGAGGTAGTCCTCTATTGTAGATTCTATCATAACCTTAGGAAAGGCCCATTTAGAGTTGTCTCTGAAGCATAGATTATTTCTTGGGAAATATCGCAGCAAAAGGTAGCACCCAATATATTTAACAACAAGGCCTGTTGTTGACACTTTGTCCGGCTGGATTGTTCCGGAAGGCCCTTCAAGGGCTGTCATCTCCAACTGGAGCAGGGCGAGAGGCAGATTACCTCGCCAAAACTACCACTAGACATTGGAAAGTAATAAATATTTTATGCTGGACAAATTTATATATTACTGGGCCACTATTACCTCAGATCAGTGAATATCGTTAGTGGTTATAAGATTGACTTTAATTCAACTCATTTATTCTGAAGGCTATTCCAAATAGCCTGCCTTTTAATCATAAACAGATGTCTTTAATGGATGAGGAAGTCATTTAAATGATATTTAAGAAAGCCATCGATTCTGTATCATCAGCATACAGTTATATTATTATTATTATTATTAAAAAAAAAAAAAAACTGTTTAAGCAGGAAACACTGGCAATTGCCCTAAGGCTATTAAACAGAACGATTTTTTAACATCCATTGATATTAAAGAGACTTATTTTTCGATTCCTGTTTGTCTTGATCATCGAATATATCTACGTTTCAAATGGCGAGATCAAGTTTATGTGTTTACATGTTTACCTTTTGGTCTTTCTTCAGTTACACATACATGTATCTTTACAAAAATTCTCAAACCTTTGTTTGCTTGGCTCAGGAAACAGAACATTATATGTACATACTTTATAGATGATTCTTTATCTGCTATGTACAGGCTTTTATGTATTTTAGGCTTCATAATTAATACAGAAAGTTATCAAGCTTGTTGACATATGAGAGAGTTTCTAAAATAAATAATAGCTGAGGAAATTTTGTTTAGTTCAAATTTATTAATTCATATGAGCCATCATTTATTGGTCAGTGTTCCTTTAGTAGAACTGCTATTATACTTGCATTATATTTATCCATTATTTAGACAAACAGAAAAATATATTTCTGTCACACTGTATCTTCAGCTATGATAATGATATCATTCATATTCAGGCAATGTTTTTGGAAATAGAATGGTGGATATCTAAGGTTTATATATAATGGGTTTTATATTCATCCACCTAGTATACATGTATAAATGGTTTATAACATCAGATGCTTTCCCATATGGATGGGGTGCCCACAGGGTAAATTCCAAAGCAATGGCCGTTGAAATCTTTAAGAGCAAGGAAACTATATAAATTATTTAGGAGTTTGAGATTTGTTGGATATAAACCTTTGAATAATAGCGCCTAACAGGCAGCTGTGTTTAATTATGTTCTCCTGATTTTGATTGTTTCTGTGTGTTTGAAGTATATGTTTGTGATATGCGCTTAGAAACACTTCACGTGTAATGAAGCGCTATATAAATCGAACAATAATAATAATAATAATTCAATGTTCTGTCTGTGGTCATATTTGTTTTTTTATACACATTTGTATCCAGGCTGATAATACTTTTGTATTACTTATATAAATAATCAGGGTGGTTATATTGGTAATATTTAAGAATTGTCTAAAGAAGTTTGGCTGTGGTCTTTGAAAAAAAGGAATCTTTTCGTCAGCCAAACATGTTGTTGGTAAATCTAATGTAGTGATGGACATTTTGTCTAGAATATTTTCTAGTTCAACGGAATTAAGCTAAACAAGTATATCTTTACAAAGATTTGTAATCATTTTTTCATACATGATGTTGATCTGTTTGCTTCCAGACTTAATAGACATTTAGAAAAATGTTTCTTGACATCCAGACCTTTTTTTCTAGCATGCAATGCTTTTTCTATATATGTATCATTGGTTCTGGAAAAGGTATTTCAAAACAGTAGATCAAGCAGCCATAATCATTCCAGGCTGGTCAACTCCTGTATGGTATCCAATTTTACTATCAATGCTCACAGCCGACCCAGTTCGGTTACCGGTTCACAAGAACCTTTTTACGTTTAAGCCACAATGGTGCTTTACATTCTCTTAGAGGGAAAAATCTATATCTAACAGGATGCAGGATACCTGGCAATCCTTCTATAATAGAGGAATATCAAAGCAATCTGCTAATATCATCCTTAATTCTTGGCGGCCATCTACTACGAACAGTATGCATTGGCCTAGCTGGAGAAGATGAAATTTTTGGTGTTGTGGACAACAAATTAATTCATTTCATCCATCTGTAGTTTTATAAATTTCTTAGGAGATATGTCTAACAATTTCCTTATAGGGTAAAAAACATTATTTGATTCTCTGTAACTCCATAAATATCTGTTTACTTGGAATGATTCAATATTAGTAAATTATTTGGGTACGCTGTATCCATTGCAAAATTTATCTTTGAGAATACTGACATATAAAACCAGTTGGTTTGTTGGCTTTAGCTACAGCTTAGAGATGTCAAATTTTAACAGACTTTTGCCTTAATTTTTTATATGATTCAGGCTCTGTTATAACCTTGAGAGTAAATATGGTTTCGAAAATTTCTCGACCTTTAACACCGTTATTCAGGGTTAAAATTCCAAGTTTTTAAGATGTCAGGATCTGTCCTTGTTTTACTTCCGAGACAGTTTATCCGTACAACAGCAGAATACCGTAAATCCAGTCAAGGATTTGTTTTTCTTTTATACGAAGAAGGCTGTAGCTCCAGGAACTTCTAGGTGTTTAAGACAAATATTAAAGTTAGCTGGTATTGATACTTCTATTTTTAAAGCCCACTCAATTAGAGGGGCATCAACTTCTTCGACATTTAATGGTGGTTGTTCATATTGAAACATTTTGAAGGCTGCAAACAGGAAATATGGATATATATTTGCCAGGTTTTACCACCAGTATGTGCGAAATTTGTTTATTTTGTATGCTGGCTGCGGAATAAATAATAAATGAACTACTAATTTGTTTTAGTTGTTATTTCCTTTGTTGACAACCCTTTAAACTATGCAATATAAATCCGAGATGCCTGAAGGGCATATATGGAATATAATCCCCCTCTCATCCTAGTGCCCGAAGGACGTGATGGATGAGAAGGATCATATGAATATATAGCCTGAGGGCTCGAGGATTTATCTTCCCTCCCTTGAGCCCTCCCTGTGCTATATTCGGCTGTCAACAAATCTTTAAAAAGACAATACTGAAAGTGTTGTGATCGTTTATATAGAGCGTGGTCACGTGTTTATACACGCCGATTCGGTGAGCTTTTTTTTAGCCTTTAAAGTTTGAGCGATTGTGCATGGTTTGAAAGAACAATGAAAAATATGCAATATAAATCCTCGAGCCCTCGGGCTATATATTCATATAATCCTTCTCATCCATCACGCCCTTCGGGCGCTAGGATGAGAGGGGGATTACCTTTTATTAGTGTGCTACTGAGTTTGCCATTATATACAATAAAAATAAGGAATATTTTCACGTTAACAAAAACTATTTACTTGACGCATCATATGTTTCCACTAATTTCCAGCACCCAGAATCAAATTTAGCGATATTTTCCCCGTGGGCCAGAAACACAATTCCCATTGGACAATTATTCGAGGATTGGTTACATGGGCTTTATTTGCAGTTTGGGGTTCGTTTTTTGACAAATGTAAAATATGACGAGAGCGATAAAAAGCGCTTCTATTTTGACGTTTGCTCGAGCCGAGAAGAGCGAGAGTGATCGCTCGCGTCAAACGTGAAGCACTAGTATTCATGGCATGTACATAAACATCATCAATGTATTGATCATCTTCTAGATTGAAATCAGGTAATGTATAAAAGATACATTGGCCTTCTGCTAAGGAATTGAGCAAAATAGCTTTCTTCCGTTCTGCTGGCAGTGTATCTATTGCGGAAGCAATTATGTAATTTGTAAATAAGCATTCCCATTGAACCCATGGAATGGAAGGATTACCTGGTGTAGGTAGGAACGGCATGGGTAGGTGAATCGAAGTTGACAAATGTGTAGGCTGAAATTGCACATTTCTTGAAGATGAAGGCTCTGACATGGCTAATTCTTGTAAACGTAGTTTCTTAAATCACTCGTCGCCAAATATGTATTGTAGATGTAATGAAAACCATACTATTCTTAAGATTACGATGGATTTTATGCATCATCTTTGACAAACAAACAACATGCTCGAAAGACGCCATGGAACTTTCTTAATACGTCATACATGTCACATGATCAATATACATTTAGAATGGAGTTATCTCCCATTGTACAGTAATATGAATATTAACATGATAGCTAGACACTACAAACTTCACTTTTTGATTCCAACCAGTCTGAAGAGTTCAATACGAATGAAACTAGTTACATTAAAAAAACTGGAAGAATCGCTCATTTCTACCTATCTTGGAACTAAAATGCTTTAAATCATCACAAAGTATTGTTCAATTTCAAAGAATTTCTGTCAGAGAAAATCGGCCTGTCCGCGTGCGGACGTAATGCGAAATATCAGCTGTCCATCAAAATGATTAACCTGTCCCGGGCGTCAGAGGATGGGAATTGTGCACCGCTGGTTGAGCTTATAAAAATTGTAACCTCTATCACCTTCACAATGTTTTCGTAAAAGGGGTCATAACTCTGGTACGGAAGGTAGCAAAACGCTGAAATATTGAAAGGGTTCATCCTCTCATGAGCACAATACTGGCGAAAACGAAACTAATCAAAATAACTTAAAAACTGAAATGAAATGAAATGAAATGAAATGAAATGGGGTTTAACGTCCTGTTCTGCTCTGAACACTTCAAAACTGTCAGTGGAAACGCTCAGACCTGGCTTTTATCTCATGCATGAACCTGCAACAGGACATCTTCTCTATCTCAAGATGCAAGAAGTTTATAACAGAAATTTTTTTTTTACCTGATGGACTAATATAACTGTAGGTATTTGACATCCATATAAAAAATTCATATCTATAACCGTTAACTCTTCTAATCTGTAAATATAAGCATAAGAAAACATGAAATGAAGGGCAATGGCTGTTGCTGTAAGTATTCTACCACATTAGTTGTTGGTCCTACACAGCCCTGGAAATTAGTCAAAATATTCCTTGGTAGAAACAGGCCACGAAATGTCAAATTTTGGCTCTGCCTAACCATTTTCTTTGGCTATGCAAGATGAATATGACCCAGAACTGATCCCTGGGGAACACCGTATTTAAGAATCTAATTAGGACTTGAGTGTCTGGAATCAAACTGGATCCTCTATGTTTGAACATATAAGTATTACTAGAACCAGCTCAGTGTGGTCCCCGATAAGGGAACAAAATAACTGGGTTCGCATTACAGTTTGTGATTCATTTCAGATGTTACAGCAAGTCAATGGAAAGATACTCCCAAAAACGCGAACCTCACCTTTCTATACTATATTTTACAACACAACATTCAATTCAGGAATAAATGCATGGAAATATTGGTCATGGGTCTGGTAAACATAACTACTATGCCGCAGCAATTTCTGCACGACAAAACATAATTAAATACTACTGTGAATGTTCAGAACAGGATGAATGAATAACTCTTTATTTACATACTTTTTTAATTAATTACGCATGACTTTAATGTCATGGCGGCTATGTAACCATGGTGGACAAAAATACACCAATTTTTCGTTGCCGCTGGGGTAATTCAGACCACGTGACATCAACATGAAATATGTTGTCTCCATTTGGAATTCATTTGGCACCCGTAAATGATTGGTGTCAAAAATACCATCCACAATACAATTCAGGTCGTGTGACATCAAACAAGCAGTTGCCATGCAAGATACGCCCACATTTTGCAAGAGATGAACAGAGAACAGGCTCAAAAAAAGAAGTGATTTTTCGTACAATCAAGGGTCATATTTCAGGAAGTTATGCATATGCATGAATATTGAAAGGAACCAAGATCTTTGGGTTATAAACATGTATTTTAAGTTTCATCAAAATCGGATCAAAATTGTGTCCTCTCTCTAGAGGGTCCAAAACCTTGATATACCATTTGGGTAAGGCCACAGTACTGGTACACGGGTTACCTCATTGAGCAAAACCCTTAAAAAATTTGTACATTTAGTATTACCTGGACTTTTTTTATTTGTATATTTACAAAACACCCTGCAGAGATAACATATGCTAGATTTAAGTGTTTCTTTGAAAGTCCAAATGAAAAATTATATATGTCCATCACTAATTTCCCACATTTTGAAAAAATATTTTGCAGTCTCAATGCATTACTCTCAAAGATAGTCGAATTACACTGTTAGCTTTTATTTTAAAAAATAATGTTTTTGATTTATGTCAGAGTAGTATAAAAAGGCTTTCCACAATTTCATTTCATTTATTTTTTTTGTAAATGTGAGCAAAATACATGCGGGTATCGCACGTAACAGCTTCGTATCCAACTCTGTTATGTACGTTCTCGATCGGTTTTTAACTCAACAGAGGGTCGAATGACGCCGCGACTATGTCGTAAAATGTGTACAAGTCCACGCATTTTGTAATCACTATTCAGGTGATGAAAATATTCATTAGCAGTTATTTCTGTGTGCCAACCCATGTGTACTTGACTTCGTGTCCAATATCAAGTTACGTACGGCAAAATTCATCGATGCTTTCCACTCCAGACACGTGGCTTGATATTTACGACAATTCAAGACACCAATAAACAATATAGGCCTAATTGCGACTATTAGATCCGTTTATGGCAAAATATACGCTAACGACCAAACTTGGGAGTGATTATATTTTTTGGGGACCGATGTTGCTGAAATGTTACGTGCGTTCTATCAAAATAGGTCTTGTTACGTACATTTTTAGATACATTAAATACAAATAAATTAGTTTTTAATCATCAAAGTGGATTTCCAAGTTCAAAAACGTATTCCCGAAGACATTGAGCTGAAGGAATGACGTACAAATTTTTATTCTGATGCAAGCGAGAAGCAGGCACGTAACATGGACAAGTGTGAATTTATGCTCTGTTGTATTACCATTTTAGATACATTAAATACAAATAAATAAGTTTTGAATTATCAAAGTGGATTTCTAAGTGCAAAAGCATATTCCTGAAGACATTCACCAGATTGACGTACAAATTTTCATTCTGATACGCACGTAACATGGATAGTACAAGTACTAGTAGTACCGTAGTGCTGTAGGCTATTACCTTTTTCTGGCGAAATTCCATTCACGTATTATATGCTTTGAATCAAAGTTATTAAAAGTTTTACATTGTCATTTATTATCGGTATGGTAAGATTTAGACAAAAAAAACTGGTCGTTCTAAAGGCCATGCATTGCTTGGTGCAGAAAGTGTCAGGTTGAATCCTTCTCCCCCATAGCAGTCATCTGGAAATGTTGAAAAGGAAAGATTGACCCTTTGATTCAGAGCAATGTTGAAATTGTTTATCTAACAATGAGCACTTACAAGTGGTGTCTTTTCTTATTACATCCCTGGATACATGTGAGCGTAACTAAGGAGAAGGGTTCCTTTCATCAAGTGATATGTTTTCAAAAAGACCCATGTGTTGCTGTAAACACAGTTGTATAACATTAACATTCAAAATATTTACCAACTGTAAATAGGGCTGAGTAAAGAAAAAAACTAACAATCTCAAGACAAAAAAAAACCCTTTTAAACATGCATTATGCAAGAGCTAAATCTGCAATTTACAGCTCTTTCTTTAGACCTGAAGTGTTATCAGTAATGACGACCGAGGCTAGTCTAAAATTTAATGGCTAATATCTCAGTTCAGAGTGAAGCAATTTGACTGAAATTTTCAGCATATTTGGTTTTAATTATCTTTTTTTAACTATTATAGCGAGAACTGTCAGCACTTTATCTAATCTTGCCTAATACAACTTTAAATTGAAAAACCCATGTCCATGTTACATACATCCCCACATTCAAATTCTTCAGTGAGAAAAGAAATTGCCCATGGATTGGAAGACTGTGATTTCCTGACTTCTTTGGTGTATTTTTTCCTATAAATAAGCAGTTTTCATACTCTTTTTCCACCTTTTTTATAAAATGTCCATGTTACATGCTGTTTTATCATTTCCTACCGTATTGCTGAGGTGGTTTGATTTTGATGTAAAAAATTATTTACCCCTAATAACTTTTAGATTTCTTATACTGTTAAAGATGGGTTCCCACAAAAGTATTTATCGGGTGGTTATTTCCAATAAAAGTATGGCAATTTTGGTATATATGGAAAGTAAAGATATCCAATCTTACTAGAAAAATACTGGATTCCCCGAAAAACACTCATGGAGCGTATACAGGACAAAAATGTAGGGTTCCCCTAATCAACAGTCCGACGATTAAGAATTTCTGCACGCATGATGTCAAAGGTCACACGCGAACATTGAGCGCTTGATGTACAAGTTGATCAACTTTATGAAGAGTTAGACGTACAACACTTTCGGAGATAAAAATGACGGAAAAAGACGTGGGTAGTGGATAATCCGAGAATTTAATTAGGATTCGATATTTGTAATAAATAGTAAGCGATTAAAGACAACATTGTCTTATGTATACAATGAATTCTCCTCTGATTTCCAAGACGTGACAACGTAAACATGACCTGGTTTGATCGAATTTTAATAGCAGGGCATTCCTTTGCAATTACAATGTTTGAGAAGGATTTGAAGCATAATTATGACAAATTAATTAGTTTGAATATGTTTTTAGTCCATATATACCATTAAATCACCCAGTTTGTACGCGGGAACCCATCTTTAACTGTAGCAATATAGTCGTGGCGACATTGTTTTTAAATTTATAGACAAAGAATAGAGAAATAATGTATTTGGCAAATTAATAGTTTCACACATATTCACATATATATTATATATAGTGTGTACTAAATCAACTTAGTCTGTAATTGACAGTTGACACATAAAAAGAGTTATTTAGCCAAAACATGTGTCTATAAAATACCACTTGATATCACGTGCATGGAAATTTATCATTGCATCATTTGGCTTAATTTAACCAATCATATCATTAATTGCACAGGTTCAGGACCATGATCACACTTGATTGTGCATGATATCCATAAGTCTTATAAAAGAAATCATAGTAAACTTTTAGGTCAGACTTCCATTAGATTCCAGAGAGGTTCCATCTGAAATCCTAGACAGCGCTTGGCTGGCTAGGGTGGAGAATGACTGTAGTTAATATTGTAATATGTACTGTGCATTGTACCATCTGTAAGCAGCTATATGATATCTAAAATGTAAAAACGAACTGTTGCATTGTTATAACGGAGAGGACAAACGTCTTTCGAAAACTGTAAGAAGTAAATACACAACGTAGGGGTGATGATTTTCAGTTTCAGAAAATAGCAAATTCCGTTTTAAGTATTTTTAATTCCGTTTCAGAGCTGACCATATTCCGTTTTTTCGAGATAAAATGTTATTTTATGTCATATGAATAAATGAATAAAACATCTTAAAATGCCTTTTATTACAAAACGGATCATTTTAAACCAATGATAACAAATGTTGAATTGTGAATGACTTGTAATGTTCAATGACTAGTTATTCTTTAAACCTGTTACCCGAATTAAATAACAGAAAATTACATCTTGTGAGCTCGTTTCATCTTTTTAGCAGACAAAGCCATTTTTCTCAGCTGCTAGTTGTAGTGGCGATTTATCCAGACATCTTCGTAGTTACTACCGTTTCTTCGAGAATAAGGGCTGGATTCACAAGGCTACGGCATATTTGTGATGTCACGCGGTTAATGCGGATAAACACGAGTCACGAGCCCGGGAGTAAAATAAGAAGTAAATGAAACGATTTTTAATTTTATGAAGTGACAGAAGTTTTTTTTAAGACATATATACATTACAATCTAGAAGAATACATATTCGATTTGGTGCCGTAACGCAGTTTCGACCTTTGGGGTAAGAAGTTACATATTCGATTTGCTGCAAGTGACTACGAGATCG